AAAGAAATCCAACGAAGAAGATGATCAGCATCACTACACGATCGCTATCTGCAAGACAAAACACCCCCAACCGTAGTCGGGGGTTCTCCAATGCCCAAGTCAGTCCTCTCATATTATCAAAATATTTAATGGACTAATTCACAGAAAGAAATTGCGTACCTCAACCCATGAGAGTGTTGCATATTTATAACATCCAGTGACTTACTTAGCAAGTAGTTTGAATGTTTCAGAAATCTTATCCCAAACAATCTCTGATTGTTGAGGACTTCTATATCGATAAGATTTCATATCCTGATAAGTTTTGCACAACATAAAATACTAATACAGTAATTTGATAACTGTCATACAAAAGATAATTTATAATTAAGTTACGCGACAATATTAGGACCCACATAATTCCTGCAGTTATTTTTGTTCCCTCTCATCTAGTAACATTTCAATGAATAACAGTACCTCATCAACCAACTCTCCGAAACCCTGACAAATAAATGACTTCTTCAACAACAGTCAACTGAGAGGTATACATTTTTTTCAACTACACAACTTCACTCGCTCGGGAACTTCACTAGAACCAGAAAAACAGAGTCACCGAAATAACTGGAGATTAAAACCCAAAACTAAGCTCTGTTCTCTCAAAATTAAGCTTCAATGCCAAATTTTGCCTCAAATCTTGTGGTAACATGTAAACAAAAACCTTAACTAGCTCTCAGACCACCTTCATTTAGAACCCACCCAAAAATATATATATTCATTTGTCAGTGATTTTTTTCAAGGGAAAATTACAGTGCAGCGGATATAGATGAAAAAAAAAATTACAAAAACATGTTTGCCAACATTTTTTTTTGTCCCATTATAATGTAATTCTCCTAAATTACAATACCATTATTATTAGGATACTTCCGTGTAAATCCTAATAAATAAATTTATTGTCCAATAGGTCTTATGAAAAAAATTTGCTATAAAAAAAAGTCACTAATTGTAAGTTTTAACAATAATTTATAAAAATCATGACAAAAAGTCACTAATTGTCAATTTTTAACGACATATATAAAAATAAATTTACGGATATAACGTCATTGTATGCATTAATTGTATTATATGTGATTCATTGAGATTGAGTCTTTTCTGAGGAAAATAAGGCCAATTTGAGTTCTCTCACTTGTATTACCATTGCTGGTTTGAGTTTTTTTTTTTTAAAAAAAAAAAAAAAAATCAGGTTTACAAAAAATTTATTTTCATGAGTATATAAGAAAATATACCCCCCAGAAACAAAGGACAATTACTTGACAGTTGAATTTCTGGGGAAAAAAAAATTACAAATCGATAAAAAAATTATAAAATTAATTTTTTATAATATTTTTTACTTTTTGATAAATAAATTTCATTGACGCAATGTCAATGTAATTCTTCTAAAAAAACAAAAAAATAGAAAAATTACATAAAAAACCAAAAATGTCATTACATAAATATCCTTTTCAAGTTCAAAACATAATGAATTGTACCATACCAATCTAATATTATTTTGTTGTCAAGTACTATTCGCATAAGCAAAAAAAGCAAACGATTTTTGAAAGGTAAAAAGTACAAAGAGAAATTATCCGTTGTCCCAAAGACAATTAATTTAAGTTATTGGAGAAATGACATTGGAAATCACAAATGTAACCCTATTTTATTATTGAGTTTTGTAATCTCATACTTATTAAAACAAAATCGACCACAATAAATAATGATAACTATGAGACCTGCCTTGAAGAGGCCAAAACACTCGTATTGCTTAGAAATTATTCAAAAGAGAAACAAAATATAGTAGGCTTTCATTTTATATTAGGTTTTGATTACATCTAGTGTACACTTGAATCAGCAACAATACAGCAACAATGAGTCCCACCAAGTGAATTAGGGGCACACAGTGATGCAACTGGAGACGAGATTTGATTGTTGCATTGCAACTACTTTTGGCAAAAACACAATCACTACTTTGTCCATCTATAATTTCCAACACAGAAAAAAATTGTGACATCTCATTAGAAAACCTAAAATGCTAGTAACTAAAAATTACAAATAACTTTATACTTGGTTCTGTAACTTATTATTAATTTTTAATAATAAAACTAGAGAGAGAGAGAGAGAGAGAGAGAGAGAGAGAGAGAGAGAGAGGTGTTACAAATGAATTGAGCAAAGAGGACAAGAGAGAGAATGAGAATAGAAGCCAATCCTGTTGAAGCAATTATTATCTTAGCCATGAGACTATGAAATTATGAACAAAATGATCCACATTTGCTTATTTATAGTGAGAGCAATGCAGAATTTTTGTTGCTTCAAATCCTGTAAAATCTTCCACCTCTTGATATAGGTGTGAAATCATGAAAATTCAAAAATTACTAAAATGGATTCACATTTCTTTTTTAGTGCCTTTGGTTGTTATCATAATTTTGAGATATATTGAATCTTGGCAAGTCAAAATTTTAATTGATTTGCAGTTTTTGCTCCTTGGAATGTTTCTATACATAGATGGGGATGTGAAATTGATTATCTTCCAAAAGTAATTTTTGTTTATTAATATGAGTAGAACACACATGTTATACAAGGTTAAAATGTATATATATGTACATTAGCATAAAACTTGTGCTATGCACGTAAGATTTAAAATTTTATTTAGAAATGAAATACTAACAAAAAATTTTAAATATTTATTAAAAATTTTGGATTGGGAGGGTAGTTGGATTTCTAAAAATTCTTATCTCTATTTCTTTTTGTTTTTTACATTTTTTAAAATATTTGAATTTGTTAAAAATTTAAAATTTTTGAAACCTCTTAAACAAAACGTTACTTTACGTTAATATAGGATGGAAAAAAACTTTTTTAAAAAAAATTAGAAGAAAATAATGGAAGTTGAACTAAAAAGCTCAATAATTAATAATTTTAAGTTTAAAAAAAATTACAAAAAGAAACTAACAAAAATTTGATAAGAAATTTAATGATTTTGAAATTGAAGTAAAACTTTTCAAAATTAAAAAAGAGCTAACCTAGGAATTTAAATAAATATTTACAACTTATGAATGCATTAAAAAAATTTTAAGTTTATGATTGAGCCAACGTCAATGTGACACATAATGTTCCCGTATGGAGATGGTGAATGAATTAGAAAATATTTAGGGTCTTTGATATAGGTATGAAATCATGAAAATTCAAAAATTATTACTGTACAAAAAATCTCACATCGGTCTGTGAGGGACTACTTTTCCACCTTATAAGCAGGCTGGTCAGAATGCCAAAGCGGACAATATGTGCAAGGCACGGGGACCGGTGGCTTTATTTGGCGTCGTATGTGGAAACTCCCTCCGAGGTGACCGAAGCAAGCGCGGCTGGAGACTAATGTGTGGGAAATCCCACATCGGTCTGTGAGGGATTACTTTCCCACCTTATAAGCAGGTTGGCGGTAATGTCCGCTTTGGCATTCCGACCGCACGGTTTTGGGCTTTATTTGGTGCCGTCTGTGGAAACTCCCTCCGAGGTGACCAGAGCAAGCGCGGCTGGAGACTAATGTGTGGAAAATCCCACATCGGTCTGTGAGAGACTACTTTCCCACCTTATAAGCAGGTTGGCAGTATTGTCCGCTTTGGCATTTCGACCGCACGGTTTTGTTCCTCTCCCACTGGGGGAAAAGGCCTATGCAAGGTAAGGGGAGCCAGCCTGCTTATAAGGCGGCATTCCGACCGCACGGTTTTGTTCCTCCCCCACTGGGAGGAAAAGGCTTATGCAAGGTAAGAGGAGCTAGCCTGCTTATAAGGTGGTAAAGTAGTCCCTCACAAACCGATGTGGAATTTCCCGCACAACTACAATGGATTTGCATTTATGTTTTAGTGCCATTGGTTAATATATAATTTTGAGATATATTATTGAATCATGGCAAATCAAAATTCTAGTTGATTTGCAATTTTTGCTGCTTTGAATGTTCCATACATAGATGGTGGATGTGAAATTGATTCTCTTCTAAAAGTATTTTTTGTTTATTAATACTAACAAGGTATGCGTGCTACACAAAATTAAAATATATATATATATATACTTATTTAGAATAAATTTATTTTATTTTTTTCTATTTTCACTATAATTATAGTTTGACAAAAGTTAATTATATTTTGTTGGGATTTTAGTGTGAGATTTAAAATTTTAGTTGGATATTCAATTAGTTAATAAAAATATTAAATAATTGATACAATTATTTTAAATTTTACCTAATATTTTTAATTTTCATTTGAATTCTATTTAATTTAAGTACAATCAATTGATAACGATCTATGTAAAAAAATAAAATCAATCAATTGATTTGAAGGTTTTTTTTTTGTTTTTTATATTTTTTATTTTTTTTATTTTAAGTAAAAAAGCTATAAGTAACTCAAAGAGGCTACACCAAATAACTCCATAATTTTTTTTATATATATTTATTCTGAGAGTGTGAAAGATTGTTTAGCCTTCGTTTGGGAAGTGGGTTGGCTTTTTGATTTTTTGACTTTTTTGGCTATTTGAATTCGGGCTCAAAAGTTTGGTTTAGAAAGGACTTTTTGACTTTTTAACTTTTTTGTGAGAGAAGAGTGTAATGATTATGAGTTGGATGTGATGTTTTGTTTGTTGTGGCTCAAATAGCCTATTCTATCTTTTGTGGCTCAAAGAGCTAAAAGAGCCCAAATGAACTCTTCCCAAACACACCTTAGTACAACTTTTATTTATAGCTTATTAAAGTATAAATACCGTAAATAAATTGAAAAACAAACAAACAAATTTTTAAAAACTGGGTAAATGTGCTTTTGACTTTACTTTTGAATTATCAACTTTATATTTACAACAAACTGCACCAAACAACGCTATTAGTTGGTTGGAATTAAATCGATGAAATTACATAAAAACTTTTGTTATATAAAAAGTGACTTTGTTACTTTTGTAAAGTGGGGCACAATAGTTCTGTGGATAGGCCATATTCTTTGAGCAGGCTATCGATGGAGCAAGAAATAGTTCTATGAACAAAAATGAAGACTTTAACTTCAAAGTTTACAGTCAGAAACAGTCACATTAGCTTGCTGAGTGCTGCCGGTTGTTTTTCATAAAAGAAGGAAGGCAGCCATTGAAGACTGGAAATTGACCAGTAATATACATTCTTTTTCACTGGTTGGGATAATCCTCAGGAGAAAGAAAATTGATGGCAAAAATAACATTTTACTTTTTGAATGAAATCAATTAAATAAAAATGAGAGTAAGAATCACGAAACAGAATCATTCTGTTTTAATGTTCTGCTGTATGCTCTCTGCAATTTTCGGTGCAGCACTTTGATGAAAATGAAGAGTGAGCTGATCAACAAACAGCAGGTTCTTCATTTGCCGCAGTTGCTGCCACTCCCTATCCATTTGTAATTCAAACTCCTCGAAATATGAAATTTTGTCTTGGATCTCCTTCATCTGCAAAACACATTTGACAATCAGAGGGGTTCATTCTTATTCTTTCCAAGACAGATCATTAAATCTACTGTATCTTGCGCACCTGCACATCAGCAATGCGAGAGATTGCTTTCTCCAAGTCCTGCTCCTCCTTCTCAACATGGGATTGCGCATCTACATGAGCTCCTTCTAATGTTTTTAAAGTGGTGTCACCATTAGATGTAGCATCAGGTTCTGCATGCGAAAGAAAAAATATTATTATTATCATAGAAAGAATGTGTATAACTAATTAAACAGGAGTCCACATCAACTCCTTTTTTGTTAATTTATCCATAGTCTGCACACAAAAAAGTTGGCCCCTTCTCCTGAGTGAAGAGACCTACTTGTTCCAACACACTTAATACCCAAAACAAGCCCATGAACTATCAGGCTTCCAGTGCTCGCAAAACTTAAAAAGAGCAATTTCAGAATTTGGAAAGGGAATACACTTCCTACCCATCCTCCCTTCTTTCCCTTTTGATAGCAGCCACAAATCACAGTAATGAGATTTTTGAAAATTTTGTTTCATTTTGGGAAGATAGCTCTTGAGGTTTCGACTTATCAAGAAAGTCATTTCCCTGTATTGTATTGATATGCTGATGAAGGGTTTCCATTGTTTCACCAAAAAAGCAACCAGTTTTGGGTTGTCATCATTCCATTTAAATGTAGTTTGTGCCTAATTGGTTACATGATAATAGTGTCCCAAAAAAGTCAACATAATTTGCAACACTCTAGTTGATGACCAGGTATGCAGTTGAAATAATTCTAGAAGAGCATGCCTTGGCTTTCTAAGAAGTGGTTGTGTCTAAGTCCCATAGTTCAAATCAACTGGCTGCAGATGATCTTAGGACTACAAGAGTTCCTATTATATTTTTGAGGCTTCAACGGAGAACAATATCAAGGTGAAGTAAACAAGACCACAACTCAAATGTGTACCTCTAAAAAGGCACAAATTGAAAAATACAAACTAACATTGAATTACAATCACTTGCAAGCAAACAGCATCCTAACTTCTGTTTGTATCAGATAGTGTTCATTTTTAACAAAATCCAGATGAGGTAGACAAAATCTTTAAAACTCAACATCATGTTATTTTCTGTTGGTGAATTATAACCAATAGTGACCAAACATCATCTAACTTCCAATGGTATCTTACTAGGATTCTGTTAATGACCAAAAAAAAATTAACAACCGGGACTGCTATGTGCAGTAAGAAAATACTAAATGCTCAAGAGAACTCTTAACAAGAACTCATTCATACCTTGCTGTCTTCCATGACCAGAGAGAGATTCTGGACTATCTTTAATTGTTCTATATCTCAACTCAGAGAGAGCTCTCACAGCAGCATGCGCAGCTATTTCTGCAACCTCTACGCCCCCCAGAGCTGACAAAAAAGCAGCCTGTGAAAAAAATTCAAACACAAAAGTAAAAGGTAAATTATCCTCGAATGGGACACAACAACAATACAAAAATTGCCAAAATAAACTAGTTGGCAAGTCAAAAGAAAACAAGCATCATTGGCCATGTCAATCTAGGTTGACTAGCCAAGGATAAACCAGTTATTCACCATGACAATATGCAAGGATTAGCCAATGTCTCAATTTACTCTCATCTAAGGACTTGAATTATATGTAGTCTACAGCATCCAATAAGAAAAATGGTCGAGTTGTAAATAACGAGAGCAGCAATAAGAAAAATATATGTAGTCACAGCATCCAATAAGAAAACAAGAGGAGTCATACTTAACCATAGCCAGGTGTTATCATAGAATTGGGGGATCACATACTCCTATGAACTAGAAATGCATGAGAAATTTCAGCCATTGGTTCCAATCTGTCAGAAATTCTTCCTATTTCGCCCAAATTGTTGCAAAAACCGAAAAAATATTATTTTTATCTTTCTTTCAATAATTAAAATATGTGCAGCTGCTTGATGCATTTCACATGATTGGTATTCAGATAACTGAATGCCCATCGTGGGGGCCTTCAGAACCCAACATACCTACCCCATTTCTGTAATGCATTGCTGATATCAGACCATCTTTTTTTTCTATTCTATTCCTTCTGCTACATTTAAATTATTTCAAAAGCAACCAAAAGACAGTAATTGTTGGGACCAAATACCAGAACCCAGTGATATCGCGAACAAATTAGACCAAAAAAAAATACAATGATCTATAAAACCCTACAAGGCGGAATTAGGGTTTAAACCTTTGAGATCTATCTAGTTTGATCTCGTTTAAATCACAAACAGAAGATTGTAGTTGATGAACTCCGAATTCGGTTGCACCTTATGATCTTCTACCGTATTCCTTCCTTATGCCTAATCACAAACTAAGTGTGGACTCAAAAACATGAACTACCTTGCTCTCTCTCTAAACCCGAAAAATTGTTTATATTTTTAGAGAGCTACAAGGACGCACATATAGGCTACGACAGGGAACATTAGGAGTAGATTAGAATTAGGACTCTATGGAATTAGGAAAACTTAATTCAACCTGAATTATAATTCCTAATTTCATAAATTATAATTCATACCACTAAAGAATTATAATTGCACTTCCATCTTAATCTCTAAATTATATTTTGAGCTCCACATTATTAAATGCTTATTTATCTCCCCACATTAAGATTACTAATACCCGTCAATTAAATAAATTACTAGCAATTAATTGACTTCCTAATATTTCCTTAAGACCTTCCACTTAACTTATTTGATATGTCGGATACAAAATCCACCTGCAAGGTTTGACATAATCAAAACTTATAATCTTCTTCAAGGGAGTATTATCAATCCTTAACCAAGACATGGATTCTATCAATAATCAATATCCGCCACACACATAAAGTGATCACCTAACTCATCAAGCTTATTGACCCATAAAGGATCTCACTCTTCTAAGAATCAAAATGACCAACACTAAATGCACGTGATTATTAATTATTTTCAGATTAAGAGCATAAGCACTCATAATAAGTATGGGATGTAAATCATCTCATCTAATCAATACATGAACAATTATCCCAAGACGGTGTTGTTCAATACACACAAAGTGTACTGGCACAATGAGTTGAAACTTTACCTTTCCTGTAGTCAAGACAAACCTACTCAAACACCATGCTACAGTCATACCAATGGTGTGTCCAAATCCATATTAGACTGTGAACTACTTATATTCTACAGGAACTAATGATCTGCTCTTCCGTATGTAAGCCGAACTCTACACACCAGATCACTTACTCCATAGAATAAAAGACACACATGTAGAACATTAGACAAATAATATAATGCAAATATTACTCACAATGATTCTCAGGCCTCGTTTGGGAAGTGGCTATTTTAGAGGCTTTTTGGCTATTTTAGTAGGCTATTTTCGTTTTTGTGTTTGGGAAGATGAGATGGATTTTTATTTGAGTTGTTGTATTGAAAAGTGTGTCGAAATGATATTTGAAGTTAAAATGACAAATTTGTCCCTAAGATTATAATTTGTTAAATTGATGTGGAGGGGCAAAAATGTAATTTCCCAAGTGATGTAGAAATTTGACACTTTGACAGTGTAGGCTGGCCCTACACTGTCACGGCAGCTGAGGCTATTTTTTTTTTTTTTAATAAATTTTTTTTAAATAAAAAGGGTTGCTACAATAGGCTTTTTGGCTTATTTCCATTTTGAGGCTATAATAGCCCCAACCTATGCTTCCCAAACAGCGCCTCATTAAAACAGGAATAACTGATACTATTAAAAACAAATACTAAATCCCATTACATAAAAACATGGCTTTTAGTATATTTTTCTAACAAGTAAGTCTTTACCTGAGCCATAATTGGGTTGCTTGCATCAGCAAGTGGGCTGAGACGCATTTTTTTGTTTGGGAATGCTGTTCCAAAACTTTGCGATCCAATTTCAGTATCATTCTGGCCATTCGTTTGACAAAACTTGTTGTCAGCCTTAGTAGACTCCGGATCTTCTACAAATTGCTCTGCAAAAGGAAGCTTGATAAAGCAAGTGACACATTCTCTCTCACTTCTACCACCAACATACTCTGCAACCTTCTTCCAGTCATCACCAAAATGCATAACAGCTTCTAAAAGTTGCAAAGTTTCTTTGTCAGTCCAATCTGTCTTTATCTCTTCATTGATCTCAACTCGTCTGAAATCAGAAGAACTGACACCAACCCTATAATTTCCGCGAACATAGCACCTTGCGCAAAGAGTCAAATCATACTGCACAAAAACGGAAATTATATAAGGATCAATTGCAACAACTGTGTTGCTGTACTATCTTGTACTATCTTGTACCAATGCAAGGTTCCTGCTGCAGTAAGAAATGCATATTTCAGAAGAAATTAGATAGACGTTAATCAGTACTTTACACAGGAACAGAGAGAAAAAAAACCATTCTTACAGGCTAATAACTTCCTCATGTTAGTTTTGGAACTTATGGTTTTGGATTTACCATAACAATGAGTCATGCGAAGGAAAATGTAGGAAGTAGGAAAAGGAAAATAGATCATTGCAATTCCTGAGATGCAAACTTCTAAACAAGACTAAGTGGAACATAAAAATTAGAAGAGGCATGCAATGCTACCGCTAGAAATAAAAATAACAGGTCCAAAAGAAAATAAAATAAAAAGGACCAATTTTAATACATAGGAATGCCTCTACAAAGTCAGTAGAAGCAAAGGCTAGCACAATATCATCTCTCCAACATAATGCAAAGAAAAATCAATGTTACGAGTTGGATAAATTTAGACATGTCCATCAGGAATGACCGATGTAATATAGCTAATATAGGTCAAAGTACCAAACATTATTGTATACACATGCTTATTTGTTTATGAAGATAATTTTGTCTTCAATTTTTTAGATGTTTTCAAGTTTAATACAATTGCTCCACACCTATGAAGCATGGGGTGTTCAAAAAATAGTGCCGTACAAGTACCGGGTACTTCCCGGGTGCGGGTACGCGTACCGGTACGGCTGCACACGTAGTGGGTACAGCAAAAGGGGATCCAGTACGTTTGGTTCAATCAAGTACATTGTGGGTACGGCATGGGTACACATAGGGCTGCAAATGAACCGAGTTGTTCATGAACAAGCTCGGCTCGGCTCGGCTCGGCTCGGCTCGTTAAGGGCTCGGCTCGGCTCGTTTAGTAAACGATGAGCTCGGCTCGTCAAGCTTGGCTTGTTTATCTTTATTTAAATTATATAATAAATATATTATTTATATATTAAATTAAATAATATATAAATAATAATAATATAAATACATTTTTTATATATTAAATAATATAAATAATATTTTTTATTTAAATATTTATATTTAAATAATATTTTTTATGTAAATATTTATATTTAAATAATATAAATAATATTAAAAAAAATTTATCGAGCTGAGCCGAGCCGAGCTCGAGTTTCATTAAAATTAACGAGCCGAGCCGAGCCGAGCCGAGCTCGAGCCCAGCTCCTTATCGAGCCGAGCTCGAGCTCAATAAACGAGCTCGATAAGTAAACGAGCCGAGCTCGAGCTCAGCAAAGCTCGGCTCCGCTCGGTTCGTTTGCAGCCCTAGGTACACGTATGGTACGTTTCAGGTACACCGGGGCAAAAAATCAAATTTGTAAGAGAATTAGGGGTGCCAGAGCAATTTATTTATGTTCTTTATTAAAAAAACAAAAAATACAGTGTTATTTTGTAATATTAAGAATATATACACCTAGGTTTTGTCCCTTCTTGCATCTATTCACTTCAGCAACAGCAAAGATAACGGCGCAATCTTTTTCGTCTTCTTCTTCAGCAACAGCAACATCTCTTCACTTCGAAGCCCTCCGGCGACGGCGACGCAACGAGATGAAGCCCTCAAGTAAGTGTTCTTCATCTTCTTCTTCTTCTTCGTTTCTTCGTCTTCATCTTCGTTCCTTCGTTTTTTTCCTGTAGATCAGCAACTGGTCTTCGTCTTCTTTGTTCCTTTCTTCGTCTTCCCTTCGGTGAGTGTTTTTCATCTCTTTATTTTATTTTATTTTATTTTGTGCCCTTGCAAATCAGCAATTTTGATGAATGAGATGATTATTCTGTGTAAATGTAGTAGAGTATTATCTTGATTTTGACTTAATTCAAGTGCTTTTTTGTGTAATGTTAATTGTTGTTGTTCTTCATCTGCTGTCTTTATGAAATCTTTCTTTGGTCTCACCCTATAAAAATAACAAATTGATGAGCAAAAAGAAAAATTTTTAAAATAAGTTATGATCACAGTGCATAACATCATAACATGTCAAAGTGAGAGATTTCACAAATATTATTTTTAATGCTTAATGGTTTTATATTATAGGAAAATGAGTTCATCAAGCAGTTTAGGTTCATCTGCAAGTGCTTCTTCTGCTCCTTCCATTGATCAATCTGGAGATGAAAATGCTCCTCTTTCGGGCTATGTTACAAAATTAGTCAAAAAGGGGGAAGAAGGAAGTGGTAATACAAAACTTAAGTGTAATTTTTGTAACATTGAGTACCAAGGGTCATATTCTAGAGTTAGAGCCCATTTGTTGCTACTTATTGGCCATGAAATTAGAGTGCGCGCAATTGTGAAGGACAAGAGTGATCTTTTTGAAATTCGAACAGCAGATCAAGAAGCTAAGAATCGAAAAAAGATGACAAAGCCTAAAAATGTTCTTTTACCACCTCTATCTTCTCAAATTAGTACTAGCCACGGCAGCATAGGAGATGTTGGAACATTTAGAATGGAAGGTTATGAACTATGAAACATGGACACCGACACGCGACACGACATGACACGACACAGATGCGGAGACAAGCAAATTTTCAAAAAATGAGAGATACGACACGCTGGGGACACGTTCAATATATATAATTAATTAATTTTATTTATTATATGTCATAAAATTATAAAAATATATATTAAAAGGTTATAAAAAATACAAATAATAAACACATATTATTGAAATTACCAAAACTAATCAACAAAAACAATTATATACTTAAATAATACAGGCACAGAGGGAAAAAAGAAAATATAAAATGAAATTAGAAACAAAAAATTAGGAGAGAGAGAGAGAGAGAGAAAGAGAGAGAGAGATAAACTGACTGACCAGTGATATAAAAGAAAAAATGAAATAAAAGTTGAAATCAAAGGAGAAGAGAGACAGAGAGCGACTGCGATAAAGAGAGAGAAAGAGAGAGCGACTGAGACAGAGAGACGATCGGAGAAGAAGAAGAAGAAGAAGGTCGAAGAACGAAGAAGAAGAATGAAAGGAGCAGCGAAGGTCATGAAAGATGAGCAACGAAGGTGTATGTCGACGAGCGATGACGAGCGGTGGGGGACCAGTCTTCTCTCTTTCTCTTCTGTTCTGTTCTCTCTTTCTCTTTTGTTCTCTTCTGTTTGATTTAGGGCAGATTCTGTTTTTATTTTTTTACAAATCGACCCACAGAAGTTTCATAAATGATGAAATTGACCCTAAACGTGTCTCGAAAGTGTCCGGAACGTGTCCGGTTGCAAAAAAATTGGGACACTCTCTGTTGCGTGTCGGACACGTGTCCACCGCATGTCCGACGCATGTCTGTGTCCGACACATGTCTGACACTGGTACGGAGCCCTCGGAGAGGTGTTCGTGCTTCATAGGTTATGAACCAAGAAAGAGAAAGGCAATTGGGAGTAACCCTTTGGATAAGGCATTCCAGCAAAGTACCAGAGAACATTTACATTCCTTAATTGCTCGTATGTTCTATTCAGCTGGTTTGCCTTTCCATTTGGCTAGGAATCCATACTTTGTGGGTGCTTTTCAACATGCTGCTGACAATCAAATTATTGGGTATGTCCCTCCTGGATATAATTTGTTGCGGACTACCTTACTTCAAAAAGAAAGGGCAAATATTGAAAGGTTATTGGAACCAACTAAAAAGTCATGGGATGAGAAGGGATTGAGTATAGTATCTGATGGATGGACTGATGCACAAAGGAGGCCTCTTATTAATTTTATGGCAGCATCTGATGGTGGAGCTATGTTTATAAGAGTTGTTAATTGTGAGGGTGAGACCAAGGACAAGTACCATATTGCCAAATTAATTAGTAAAGTGATTGATGAAGTGGGCCCTTGTAATGTGATTCAAGTATTTACTAACAATGCTCCTGTTTGTAGTGCAGCTGGATCAATCATTCAAAGTAATTATCCGAAGATCTTTTGGACACCTTGTGTAGTGCACACTCTTAATCTTGCTCTTCAGAACATTTGAGCTATGAAGGAAATTGGAGTTACTGCATATGCTTATGATGAATGCCATTGGATCACTACTGTGATTGATGATGTAATGTTTGTGAAAAATTTCATCATGAATCATTCTATGAGATTAGCTATTTTTAATGAATTTGTACCTTTGAAGCTACTTTCTGTTGCAGATACACGCTTTGCATCAACAATTGTTACACTAAAAAGGTTTAAACTTATATATCGTGGTCTCCAAGCAACGGTGATAAGTGAGAAATGGGCTTCCTACGGGGAAGACGATGTTCGGAAAGCGGCTGTTATAAAGGAAAAGTTGTTGAATGATATTTGGTGGGACAAGATTGAATATGTACTCTCATTCACATTGCCTATTTATGAGATACTCACATTTTGTGACACTAATAAGCCATGTCTACATTTGGTTTATGAGACGTGGGATTCAATGATTGAACGGGTGAAGGCATCCATCTATAGGCGTGAAGGGAAGTCAAAAAATGAAGAGTCAGCCTTTTACTCTGTAGTGCATCAAATATTAGTGGAAAGGTGGACAAAAAGTAGCACACACCTCTTTATTGTCTTGCTTATTCTTTGAATCCAAGGTATAATTCACATTATACTCATAGTTTATACTTTTATTTTTTTTCATTGCATAATTTACTTATTATTTTTTTCCAATTATGAAATCTAGGTATTATAGTGCGACGTGGCTTCATGAAAATCCCATTCGTGTTGCTCCTCACAAAGATGTTGAAATTTCTGAGATGAGAATCAAGTGTTCTAAGAGATACTTTCCTGATTCAGATGAGAGAAGGGTTGTTAATACAGAGTATGCTAAGTTTTCAAGTGGTTTAGAAAGTTTTGGAGACTCTGACTCAATATGTGATAAAGAAGTAATGGAACTAGTGGTTTGGTGGTTGGCACATGGCTCTTCTGCACCTATGCTCTAATCATTGGCAGTGAAATTACTTGGCCAACCATGTTCCTCATCATGT